GTTTCTCTGTGTACTCCCTGAGCCTTCCGTTTCTCAGCTGAGAAAATGGCGGCACCTATGCTCTCCCATACTGTGGAAAATGACCAAATAAGACAAGTATGTACAAGTATTTGGTGGAAACCCCGCAGAGGTAAGAAGTGGCTGTTACTAGCTGTTTCCACTGGTGTTCTCAGGCCATCTCAGGGCTGTGTAGGGAACATTCCAGCTGCAGGGGAGGGCAAAATTTAGACTTTCAAATGAATCCATCTTATTCTTTGTAAGAACGAGCTCTAGTAGGAAAGTTTGAACAATGATGTGAACATGAGAATTTTTTTTTTTAAACTAGATTTTAATATGTTGTGTGCAGTCTCTCTATTGCAGAGATTGACCAAGAGTTAGCTGCAGATTATAGTTCAGTAAGAAGGTCTTGCGGTGCATGTTCCCGTAGCCCCCACCTCAAACTCCTGCCTCTGGTGTGCTTGAAAGAAATGAGGAGACCTTTGCCGAGTCAAGAGAAAATGCAAGATTTTGGAGGCTTAGTCCCTTTATTGCTCATTTTTCCCCTGTTGCTTATATTGATTTCTGCAACAAAGAGCAGTTGGCTGGGATTCAGAGCTAGTTTACTCTGCCAGTCTTGAATGTGGAAGAAAAAAATAATTCCCATTTTCCGCATAGAGGCTGATCCAGGGGCAGCAGATGCAGGCTGCTGTTCTGTAGGTAGGAATTGCATGCACAAAGCGGGGCTGATGTCCCATCCACGCCTCATGGCACTTTGGAAGTGCATCTGACACCGCGTGCCTGCCATACACAAGGAAACCACAAAGACTTTTTGAGGCAACAGCTTATGCCAAAAATTAGTAAAATGACATGGCTTCATATAATTTGACATATCTGTATTTTGGAGGTTTCAGATCATGTGCCCATTAATAATGTACAGCTGCATTGTTTAAAGCTCTGTTGAGTCTCCTAAGATTTTTCTGTCCATGCAGGCCTCTCGGTATTCACTTAAATGTCAAGGCCCTAAGCTTGTATGAGCCCCTAAAATGTTTTTGAGTCCCACAGTCAATTATTGGCTGACCACATTTGCTCTAGGTAAGGCTGATAACAAGCCACCACATGGGATCTCACAGTGAGAGTTTAGTATCAAGCATTTACAGAGGCCTTAAGCTCATGTTGCAATTATTAAGGTTCTATATAAAGCCACAGGGGAAAAGTCATTTCATGCTTTAAAAATTGCGAGTTAATATTTAAGGAGTTTATATGGAAGCATTTTCCCCTTAACTTTAAAATTATTACAGAGAGGCCCTAAGAAACTGTTCTGCATTAGATGGTGTTTAAAATATGATCTTTTTCTTTCTTTATTCTTAGGATTTTCATGATGTGGTTTGCAGTTAATTTGCATATACACAGTCTTCATGCTAGTGTCTGTGGACATAGAGTGGTGCTACTTGGCCTTAAGAGCTTCCTGTGTGTGATTGGGAGACAGGCAGTTCGTGAGCCATGTGTGCTACAAGAAAACCCAGAGCACAGAAATCGGACATGAGAGTACCAGGTGCTGAGTGCCATGGGGGTGAGAGCAGGGAGGGATTATTTCTGCCCCAAGAAGGCTTCTTGGGAAATAGAGCAGTTATGATGGACCTGGAAAGATGTTCCAATAAGACTTGGGAGAGAAGACGCGATAGTCCCCATTGGGGAGGGCAGAGCACCTTGAGTAGAGGCATGGTGTCAGGAAGTGTGAGAATTCCTCAGAGAGCGTCAGTCAGGAGAGATTCTTTGCAAACGCCTGCGGAAGACGTGAAGGCTGGAAAGTCAAGTGGGAGCCATTGGGGAGACTCAACAAATGCATATTGTGTTGTGTGTGTTTCATTTGGAAAATTATGCTGTTAAATGATCAAGTACAGATTAATGCTTTTTTTGTTTGTTTTACTGGATTCAAACTATATTTGACAAGTCATTTCATCCTAGTGTATGCATGTGATTTTCTTGAAATGAGGGTAACATTTTAAAGATAGGATTTGATGAGTCAAGGAGATATTTTTCAAGTAAATTACTGTAAAATATCTTGGAGTTACAGTTAAAAGAGTCAATTATTGTTTCATCTATAGGCATCCAATTAAAGTTGAATTATGCTGTTATTTTCACTCAATTTCCAAAGCTATGCACTTCCATAATTTCTACCCTTGTTTATATAGCCAGTATAATGTTTAATGCAATGTGCCTGATTTAGCACTTTGCGTTATATATTTTGCCTGATAATCAGCTTGTCTCTTCCATATGATGACAGACTTCTGCACAGTGAATGGAGCTTAGTGTATTTATATAAAATAGAAGTCTGGGAGAGTTTCCATACAGTTCAAGTATATTAATCGAATGTTCACAAGAATGCAGTGTTTCTTGGTTTCTTGGCATTCTTTGAATACCATTTGGCTCTCCTGTCTTCCTTCTCACCAAAACCCCAGTCATTTGAGAAACTTATATAATGAGAAACTGTAAGATACTAAAATACAAGTTACTCTGAGGTCTGGCTTTTGACTAACGAAATGAAATCAGTGAGTTCCAGCTTGTCTACTGGTCTGTTGCTTGAAACACTGGCATTCTTTGGAACATTCAATTAATATATTTGAACTGTAAGGGAACCCTCCCAGACTTATATTTTATATAAATATGCTAAGCTCCATTGACTGTGCATAAATCTTTCAGCAAACGGGAGAAACAAGCTGATTATTATCAGGCAAATTTTACAATGCAGAAATATGAGGCAATATAGTGCTGTGCTGAAGACAGCGTGTAACAGTGTTAGACACTTAGCAATCATAAGAGGCCCCATGAAGTCCATGTACCCTACACCATAGAAAAGGCCACACACAAAATTTCTGAAACAAGCCTGGTTTGCCAGCTTTCTGGCATCAAAGGTCAGAAGCAGAAGATGGGAAGGCCGTACAACAGTAGACTCAGTGAGAGCAGGACTGAACTTCAGCAGGCCCTGTTACTGTACAGAAACAAGATTGCTAGGCTGGGCGCTATGGCTCTCGCCTGTAACCCCAGCACTTTGGGAGGCTGAGGCAGGTAGATCACTTGAGGTCATGAGTTCAAGACCAGCCTGGCAGACATGGAGAAACCCTGACTCTACAAAAAAAATATACACACAAAAATTAGCCAGGTGTGGTGGTGTGTGCCTGTAGTCCCAGCTACTGGGTGTATTGGGGGAGCTGAAGCAGGAGAATTGCTGGAACCCAGGAGGTGGAGACTGCAGTGAGCCAAGATCAGGCCACTGCACTCCAGCCTGGGTGACACTCGATCTCAACAACAGCAACAACAAAAGATATCTCAAGGCCACTTAGTTGAGGAACAAGACCTCTATGTAGTTCACGAACCCATTGCTGTGATCCAAAACAGTATAAACGCTGGTATTCTAGGTCATCACTGTGATCATTGAGAAAATGGTAAAGTGTATTGACGTACTCTGTTTAAGAAAACAAGGGACTTAAAATGCATGTTAGAAATATTTGTACACATGCTGGTTTAAAAAAGAAAAGACTAAAAAGAAGCCTTAATACATGCAAAGAAAATACTCAGTTTTCCAGAAGATGAGGATATTCCCTTACAATGAGAGTTATATGAAACCTTGTTACAGTACTTTTAGTCTTCTTTACTCAAAGAATTACCAAATTTTTCTTTCTTTTTTTTTCTTTTTTTTTTTGAGATTGAATCTTGCTTTGTCACCCAGGCTGGAGTATTGTGGCATGATCTCAGCTCACTGCAGCCTCCACCTCCCAGGTTCAATCCATTCTCCTGTCTCAACCTCCCAAGTAGCTGAGAATATAGGCGTGCACCATGTCCAGCTAATTTTTGTACTTTTAGTAAAGACGAGGTTTCATCATGTTGGCCAGGCTGATCTCGAATTCCTAAGCTCACGCAATTCACCCACCTCAGCCTCCCAAAGTGCTGGGATTACAGGTGTAAGCCACTGCACCCAGCCACCAATATCATGTTTTAAAAGTAAATTATTACCACTTCCCTAAGTGGCTAATTACCATTATTTTCTGTATTTTACAGATGACAAAATGGTAAGTAACTTGCCCAAGGTTACATTATTTAAGTCAATCAAATGTTTATTGATTGCCAGACTTTTTCTCTAGGCTTCAGCAAATGTTGGGAGGTATTTCTCTGAGCTTTCAAAAATGTTATTTCTACTTGTCAGTGCTGCAGGAGTTTAAAACAGAGAATTTATCTACACGCTGTGTGACTTTACATTTAAAAATGTTTGTTTCCTTGTAGTAAGAGTGTTATTTTTTATCGTCCATTCCGGAGTGTGAGCTACCAGTATTTTTGTCTAGGGCTAGATTACTAGATCTACAATATCGGGAGAATTAATGAGAGAAAAAGGCTTAACCATCTGAGGCTCTGTCAATGTCAGTATTTGTGGCGGGCTGTGTTTACTTCCTTCAAGGAAAAATGTCAAGCAAAACTTTACCACCACAAATACAAAAGAGAAAAACATTTTAAAAATCTGATCATTATAGAAATTGTAGTTAGTGCAGAATGTGTCCTGCAGAATCCAAATGTTTAATGAATGTTGGTGAAAAATATGAGGTGTGTGATGTGATTGGAAAGTAATTTACCATATTCATTTTTACTTAAGGAAAAAAAGTAGATTTTGGTATGAGAATAAATCTTACTGAGACTTGTTAATTTTGCTCTGAAATTTACTGTCTGACATTAATCTGGCCAGTCTAGCTTTCTTTTAGATCACTCTTAACATGATATTTCATTTTTTTATCCTTTTACTTTTCATATATTCATGTCTTTAAGTCTAAAACAAGTTTCATGTAGACAGTATTAGTATGTAGTCTGATTCTTTTTTATCTACTGTGACACTTTGCCATTTAATTGCAGTCTTTATACCATTTATATGTAATGGAATTATTATTAATTTACATGGGATTATAATGTATATTTAATGTCCACTATCATCTTTCTGTTTGCATTCAGTTCTTCCTCTTCTTCCCTTTTTCCTTCTGTTGGGATAATGGAGTATTTTTAATTACTTCATTTTATCATTATGTTTGGCTGTATTGGTTTCTAATATGATTAGCTGTATTAGTTTCTAATATTGTACTAATGCTGTACTCTTTTTTCTTAGACCTGTACGTAGATCCCAAGTCATTTGTTAATCTGCCATAACAGATTAACATAGAGTGTCTTAAAAAAACAGAAATTATTCATACACAATTCTGAAGGCTAGAAGTCCAAAATTAAGGCCTTGGCAGGGTCATGCTTCCTTTGAAGGCTCTAGGCAAGAGGATTTCCTTGCGTTTTCCTGCCTTGTGTTAGTTGCTGGTAATCTTCGATGTTCATTGGCTTGTAGCTGTATCCTTCCCATTTCTGCCTCTGTCTTCAATGGCCATCTTCCCTCTGTGTGTGCCATTTCCAGATCTTTCTTTGCTTACAGAAATAACAGTCATTGGTTTTAGGAGCTACCCTAATCGAATATTGGCCTCATCTTACTTGATTACATTTGCAAATACCTTATTTCCAAATAATGTCACATTCACATAGACCTGGAGTTAGGACTTTCAGAAATTGTTTTGGGAACACAATACAACCCACAGTGTTAGTTTTACCTCTTCGTTTTCTTTCTTTCTTTCTTTTTTTTTAATTAGTGGTTGCTCTAGGGCTTGTAATATAAATCTTTAATCAATCAGTCTACTTTCCAACAATATTATACCACATCACGTATGGTGTAATAAACTTACAATAGTTTATTTGCATTGTCCCTTATTTTGCCTAGCATCAAATACTTGGCAAAATACGGCTTTAAGCCCTGGTAGCATCCCCCGTATCTGTCCCCACCTCTATATTCCTGCTTCTACTGACTAAGGTGAGCTCCTTGCTATGTCTTGCCTTTTGTCTTCAGTAGTCTGGAGTTTCACCAGTTTAGCTTTGCGATCTTGCCCTTACCTACCTGTCTACCATCATTTCTCACTTAGATGTCGTGTTTATATCTCCAAATACACTTGTTTATGTTACATCTCTCTACTTTGGCTCACACTGAAACTTGAACACCCTTCCCTCCACTTTACTTATCTTTCAGGCAATTATTTCCCATCAAAATGAAGACAAGCCTTGCCTTCTTTGAATCACTCAGTGAAGTCAGCTGTGGTCGCCCCCCTGCCCTTTTGTGGATGACACACATACCAATCTCAGTCCCAATCCCAGCTCCTGTTACTTTTAACTGGGTAATTTGTCGATCTTCTTCCTCCTAAGGGGATAGGAATCTTGTGAGAGTCATCTCCTGGCATCTAGGAGGTCACCAGACTAATAATCATTGTTCAATGAATGTACACTGAATCAAGTTATCAGTGAATCAGTAAGCTGAGTGCTGGTTTCACCAGTCCTTACTATTTCCTGAGAATTGTTTATAAATGTGTGCATTTTCACTTAGTAGGTATTATGATTAATCCTACCCACCCTGGGTAAATTTCTTGACTATTCATTATTAACTTCATCGAAAGTTACTTGAGGATCAAGAGTCATTTTGACGGCTTCAAATATTGACAGAAGGATGTGGACACATTTTCCAGATGCCTTAAAAAAATAGGATGATTTCCTCATTGAAGTACAAAATAATGAACCCTTAATACCATCAGTTCAACTCAAATATTTACTTGGGTGAATAATTATTTGCAGGCAAAGAAACCATCTAATGGCATTTTATTCTGATACATTGATGCATCTACCATCAGAAAACTATGCAAACATCTGTTAGATAATTTTGACTAGCAACATTGGAAGACATTCATGACATGTCCTGGCTGCTCAGAGGTTTGCAAAACATGCTGCTGTACTCTTTTTTCTTAGGCCTGTACGTAGATCCCATGTCATTTTTTAAATGTGGAAATGTTTAAAGCGTTTTCGTTTTTTTCTGATTGGAGAAGCCAAGCCAATTGTAGCAGTAATAGTGGGGCTACAGCCTGAGGAAGCTTTTTGCTGATTCTTGTTCAGGGAGGCTTCCTTGAAGTCGACAGTGGAAGAACATTATAAAGCAAAAACTACAGCTACTTACACTTCTCCTTAGCTGTGAAAATAAAGACCAAAAAATTTATTGAGATGGTGGCGAATGCCACCAAACCTCACAGGGCCGAGTCAGCTGGTGCCTGTTAGGGCACCCTTCCTTGACTCTTCCTTCCTCTTGGCAGGAGAGCGGCAGAGAGTCATCTCCTGCCATGTCCCTCCCGCCAGAAAATGATTTATAATGCTGGAGGGATCTACCGTGAGCAAAGTTCAACACACACGCCTACGGGACAAGTCCTCTAACAAATGAGGACTTAGCAAGTTGCCTACCAGGCACCAAGCTGTGTAAACCACACAGGTACGTTCTCACTTAATCTTTACAGAAACCCATTAAGATAGGTGATGTGGTGACCCTGTCCCGGACTATCTGCATGGGCCCTAAATGCCATCCCAAGGTCTTTCTAAAAGGCGAGACTGAGATTGGAGCGATGCTGAGGAGGCAAGAGCTAGATTCCCCCTTAGCGCCGACAGGAAAATACGTTTTGGTAATTTTTTTTGGAAGCAGGGTCTCTCTCTGTTGCCCAGGCTGGAGTGCATGGTGCAATCACAGCTCACTGCAGACTCTGCCTCCTGGGCTCAAGCAGTCCTCCTGCCTTGGCCTTCTGAGTAGCTGGCACTGCAGGTGCACCACCACACCCAGCTAATTTTTGTATTTTTTGGTAGAGACGGGGTTTCGCCATGTTGCCAGGCTGGTCGCAAACCCCTGGGCTCCAGCGACCTGCCTGCCTTGCCCTCCCAGAGTGCTGGGATTACAGGCATGAGCCACCATGCCAAGCCACTTTCTGTAATTTTAAGCTACCAAGTTCATGGCAATTTTTTTTTTTTTTTTTTTACAATAGCTACAGGAAATCCATGCAGGTGCCATTATTACCTCGTTTTATGGATGTGGAAACTGAGGCTTTAGAGAGATAGATTAAGGTGCTCAAGGTTGTAAATTTGGGGTGTGGCTGGAGCTGGGATGCACGCCCAGTCCAGAGCCTGGGCTCTCAACTTCTTCCCAGTGAGGAAATGCTAATTTGCTTCTATGGCTGATAACAGGGTGGAAGGGAACCAGCCGGGGTCTGGTGTGGGTCAGCAGGTTGCTCCCTTCTGCCATGTAATGATAAAAATCACTTGTGGCCTAGGCCCCTCTAAAGAGATTAAAGTCTTAGAGGACGTTGGTACTGCTCCAGGCCACAGGGCGGGAATGACAATGCGTTTCCTGTGTTGTAGCCACCTGCTTTTAACCAGCACTTTAAAGGGAGCAGAAACCACAGATACCACACAAATTGATATTGCAGTTATGTGAATTCCTTTCGGACCTCCTTTGGTGGTGGTTCTAACCCAAATTATTTAAAGTATTTGGTAGGAACACAAGTCACTTGCTGATGAGAGAGAGAAGTAAGAAAGACACCAATTTCCCATTCTGGAAATTTTATTTCTTAAAGCAAGAAAGAAATCCTTAATTGCCTCCTATGTTGCTGTTTTCATTCGCCCCTTTTTAACGGTCAGTGGGATGTGTTTCTTAATTGTGATGGCACAGACAGAATTCATCCTGGGCCCAAGCAAAAAGTGAAGGGGATTAAGAAATCTAAAAGGAATGAAGTTTATGGAAACATGAGCCACCACTCCTCACACACCACTACCTCCTTCTCCAGTTAAGAAATTCCTCTGAAATTCCCTGCATGTTTCTCTCTAGACTCTTAAGACCCCTGGGTACTTGCATCTTGATTTGGAACAACTTGAGAGAATCCCTGGTCTGTTGTATTTCATCTGTTTCCCAGTGTGTCACAAATCAGCAGACATGCTTTTCTGACATGTGCAGAGTTTTACTCTCTTTTCTTGGCTAAAGAGCCGCAGCCATGATGGAAAATGAGATCCGAGGACTAAAACCAGTTAGATGTTCGTCTGGTTCTGAACTAGCATTCTCTCACAGAGGCTTCCCTTTGAGATGTTCCTGGGTGTAGGTCCTTGGGGAGAACATGCTGAGTTTCTGCACAAACTGTCCAGTGTCTTGACAATTGAAAGTTCCATGGCAGGTTAAAGAAGGATCTGGGGCCGGGTGCAGTGGCCCACATCTATAATCCTAACACTTTGAGAGGCCAAGGTAGGTGGATCACCTGAGGTCAGGAGTTCAAGACCAGCCTGGCCAACATGGTGAAACCCTGTTTCTGCTAAAAATAAAAAAAATTAGCCAGGTGTAGTGGTCTGTGCCTATAGTCCCACTTACTTGGGAGGCTGAGGCAGGAGAATGGCTTGAACCCGGGAGGCAGAGATTGCAGTGAGCCGAGATCGTGTCGCTGCACTCCAGCTTGGGCAACAGCTAGACTCTGTCTCAAAAACAAGAAAGAAAGAAAGAGAGGAAGGGAGGGAGGCAAGGAAGAGAAGGAAGGAAGAAAAGGAAGAAAGAGAAAGGGAGAAAAAAGAAAGACAGACAGAAAGGAGGGAGGGAAGAAGAGCTCTGGGAATAGAAATGGGAAAGATTTCTCCAGTGTGGGCAAAGCAGCACAGCCCTGATTAAAGTTGCCTCCTAGCATTAGAGGCCTGTTCGTTCACTGCCTCCTCCATGGTTCAGTGCGGATAGAGAGGGAAATGACATATTCGTCTTTCTTGTAGGGAGCTTGCAATGCTCTATTCTGTTGAGCACGTAAGGGTGGGGAGCTGTGTGTGTTTTATGAAAATGTCTTTTGTTACCAAGCATGGCTCTTATTAAATGACTTCTTTTCTTTTAGAGCCTGTATAACTTATGAGTTACATGGGTGGTTATATCAATTTTGTTTTGGTGTATAGTAAATTACCCCAAAGCACAGTGGCTTAAAACAGTTGATGTTTATTTTACAGCATCTTTTTTTATTGTGTGTTCCCTGAGCTCTCCTACTGACGGTTTGGAATATTTTCACAAAATCTTTAGCATTCCTCTCTCCAAGAGGTAAAGAGCTTAATTCTTATCCTCTTAAGTGTGGACTAGATTTAGCGATTTG